TTTTAATTTATCTATTATATCATTATTTACATTGATGTAATTAAAAAGGTATTTTCGTGATTTTAAATAGCAACATTTCAGTTAACTTGGAAATAAATATTTTCAATTTTACCAACCAATAATTTTCACCTTTATAAATGGACAAAGATAAATAAAAGTGCTGCATAAGAAGAATCTATATATATTCAATGTTTAGTTTTTCCAAGTACGTTTTATTATATGAATTTATATTAATAATTTATTATCTTTGTATTTAAAAATTTAAGCAATATATCAGCTGTCAAATTCAATTCAATATATTGTAACAATTGTTTTTTTGCTAGACAATTATCATCTTTCATATTTATTTTTTCATTTACAAAGCAAAATCTTTATTTCCTCGATTATTGCCCCCTTATTGAACTGTATTGAACACAAATTGAAGTATATATATATATATATATATATATCAACTTATGTACTACCTAAATTTTTCCCTTATACTATGCTTCATTTTATAATAAAAGGACAGTGAAATCCTCATAAAAATTTCGTATAATGCAGAATCAAGAATAAAACATTATATATATTAGTTGTATAGATATAATCTCAATAATATAATCAATATAATTTTAATTAAATTAGTATAAAACTTATATTGTTTATTTTTTTAAATCTCTCTTGAAATACTTCCTCATATACAGTATATTAATTTAATTCGATAAAAAGTTAATAAAGATTAATGTAATTGGATATAATAAATACATTAACATATGCAAACATAAATGCGCGACTTTTTCGTAATTGTTATAGGTAATGAGTAATGAAGTCCGATATTATTTATAATAGAATTTTCGTGACTAACGCAATATAACCATCTCTTTAAAATAAGGTAGTTAATTTTGTTTTGTTATATACTAGCGAAAACTGGGAGATTAAAATGTTCGAATTTCGTAAAACTATCACATACATATATAAAGAATTATTTAACTATTATCAAGTATTCATTATTAACCATATTATAAAAAATAAATACCATAATTTTTTAATCTTTATTTAAAAATTATAAAATTTTTTATAATTAAAAACTTAAATAAAGATTAAAAAATTATAAAAGAAAAAAAAACATAAAAATATTCTATTTACCATGATCACTTCTATATTGCTAAGATAATCAAATACAACTGCAGTTGCGTTACTTATTTCTATGTTAATTATTATTGATTGTATGATTTTGTTAAATTAAATTAATTTTATATTTTTTATATATAGTAGATGTAATAAATCTGAAATTTTTAATCTATTTTTTATTTATTGTGATTTATATCAGAATTCCTCTGTATACTTATCTTTATTACAATAAACTGACGTCATCCTTGGAAGTACTTCTGATAATATTTATGTTTATATTATTCAATTTCATAACAAGTAAAGATATAACGTGTATTCTTCATACGTTGATTGATTCTAGATAAGAAATTATTTCAAGTCGATGTTTTGAAAATGTAAAATAGTGTATGTAACTGACGAGATGATAAAGTTCAAATACAACTATCAATAAAAATTGATAATTGTAATAAATTGATTGAATATAATAAACATATTTGAAGTTTGCATATCGCATTGTTGAAGTTTGACCACTTACAAAAAGAATATTAGAGTGGGTAAATAGCTTATAGAACTAGTGAACATATATACAATAAAAATATAAATGAAATACTAGAGTGTTAGATCTGATGTTGGATAAAAAGTTTAATGATTACGTTGACAGAGTATAGTATAAATTTCCCTCTGTCAAAAGAATAAATATCGGAATTTTAATATAAGAAAACTTTTAATAAACAAAAATATAAATAAATAAATACATTGCCGAATTAATGGTTCAGATTTCATAAATAAATAAGTCAAAGAATAAATTATTATTACATTATTTTGCTCACTAATATACATATTTAGATAGATAAAAATGTTCAACATGTTAGTCACTGATAATAATATTAAATTTGGAATATTTTGTATGCATGGTAACTATAATTTTCAGTTGATTACTATAATAGAATATTATATAATCCAGATAAATCATAAGCAGCCATAGATCTTCAGGTCCTAAAATAGTTAGTGCATATAAAATGTTTAATATTGGCTGAATAAAAAATAGGACCGTACGCTTTTTGGTGTTACTTTGAATTTTAAATTTCATGAAAAAAAGCACTATGTGTAAAAATAAATAATTATTTGAGACGTAAATACTATTATTGTGAATGATGAATGAATGATGAATTATTGTGACCTCATATTAATGATCTTAGTATACATTTTGTATTTATAGATTAGTCTTTATAATGATGGAATTAAGGTACCCTATATTCTGTTGTTTTTAGTTGGCAATGAATTTTATATGTTTATATTACTAATCGTAAAAACTTAATTATTGTTATTAGAATTAATATTGATGATTGCATATTGTACATCTTTTGAAGCGTAAATATTAAACGTACTGTAGTTATGATTCATTAAATTAACATATAAGAATATTAAGAATTAATTTTAATTTAATATTTATCAATTATTTTAAATAGTTTTAAAATAGTAACAATTTTGCTGCCAATTATTTTTATAAATATTGTTTAAATCTAAAATAGATTTATTGAAATAATTTGAAAGCTCTGCGTTGAAATAAATAATTTGAGGTTCTACTCAATTTATTTATTTGATGTAGCGGTTTATTTGTGGTTGAAATTAAACTCTGAAGATAAATACAATTTTTAATAAATAGTCAATAGATTCATAAAAGTTTAAATTTAATTAACGAAATTTGTTTGTGATTTGTAGATGAGAGCACCGAGTCGCTCTAGTTATGTGTATTAGTTGTTAATTTTTTTAAGACATCCAATTCAATGCGCAATATCTCTCCCACGTATACTATTTTTTTTTCAATAATCTTTATTTAAAAATGTATTTTAATCATTTATAAATAAATTTTTCATTTCACGAATGGTGTAAACAATAAAAATCGAATTCTAATTAAATCAAACTATTTAGTAAACAATCAATATGTATATATTTTTGAAAATTTGATTGTTACAGAATTCGTTTTGTCATTTTCAACAAAAATCAGATTTAATTGAAATCGTTCCAAAAGATGTTGATACCATTGTAGCAGACCGAAAATCGAGAATGAAATCTAATTCTTCAGGTATGTAATTAGTCGTTTATTGTAAGAACTGTTTTTTTTTTCTAATTCAAATATTGATAATTTCTTTATCCATAAACAAGCAGTTATAATTTCTCTATTATAACTTTATATATTATTATAAAGTTTTATTAATTAATTTGAACTTCTTACAACTGTATTTTTTGCATTTTAAGATTTAATCAATTTAGTATTTATTAATTGTAATACTGCTAATAATTAGGATATTATCTTTAATACTATTATCATTTATGTTTCATTAATTATTTTTATATTATTTAGAGTAAATGTAATACTTTTCACGTAGTAACTGCGTTTGAAATAATAATTGTATAAATGATAATTTTTGTATAAACGATTTTTTTGTTTTTTATGAAAACATTAGTTTAGAAAAAATATTGTAATTTATGGCTTTTTGTTATTATTTAAAAATTCTTAAGTCAAATAAAAGACTTTATTTAATAGTTTCGATTTATAAATAATAGTTTGAAATAATTTCTTAATTTTATACGTTGATACATCAATTTTGAATCGAATTGTCAAAGTATTTATATATGAACAAAGTTCGTTTATAAACAAATATTTTCATCAATTTTTAAATATATTTTAGACCCACTACATTATTTTCATTGTAAAGATTTAAAAGATAAAACTCAGAAGAATGTTTTTAAAAAGACATGTTCTGTAATAAATTCTGAAAAAGTGGTCAATCAAATGAAAGAAATTACAGCTGAAAATATTGAACATGAAAGAAAAATAGGAAAAAATATTTATGATGATGACATTATTCTTATGTCAGATCATGAAGAAGAAGACAGTTTAGAACGCTTAATGGATGAGATGGAGAAAGAAATTAATAATACTCAATTATCGGTTGAAAAAGGTACTACTAAATGTTCATCAAATCGTAATGAAAATATATATTCAAGTACGAAAGGTAAGATATATTTTTGTTTAATATATAAATTTTTATTTATAATTTGACTAATAGATACTCGATTATTTTATATTTTACAATTTTATGTATAGGTCAAAATATCAATACCCGTCGTGTAAAAAAAAATTCGCCTTATACTAAACATAGGTCTCTTTCACCACATTCAACTTTACATATAACTTCATTGGAAAAATCGAAAAAAACAATGACGAAATCGCAATGTAATATGCCAAAAATAAAGTCTACATCTGTATTTAGTCAATCAAAATTGTCATCAAAATTAGAAAAATCAATTCGAACATCTAAACCAGATATAGAAACAACTTCTAAATTTAATAATATAGGAGATTTAAAATCAATAAGAACAAGAGCTGGTTTGAAATCTTTACTACATAAAAATGAAACATCATTTATAAAAGAATCATATTTAACTGAAAATTCATTTTCTGGATTAAAATCAAAAAATAGAACTTCATCTAATCATATATTATCTCATAACATTTCTTCTACAGAATGTTTAGATCAATTAAATTCTAAACATTCTGAAAAAGTGTCTATTTCATTGAACACAATGAATACACCTGTTTGTTGTCATAATTATTCTATACTTTGTTGTAAGAGGTCCAAATGTATATTAAAGGAACGTTTATCTAAAAAAGAAAGATATACTATGAAAAACAATCGTCTTGCTAATACTTCTATATCAGAGGCAAAGCATCGTAAATTTGAATCTACGAAAACTTCGGATTTTATAGATAATAAAAAAATTCGAATGAATTCTGACATAGAACAATTTTCCAGCAACTCATTACGAAAATCTAATTTGACAATTATAGGTTCAAAATTAAAAGAACAAAATGTTGATAAAATATTTAATCCTGATATAAATTTTCTAAACGGAGCTGATGAAATTAATAATCATCAAATGACATTAAATTATTTTAAAAATGATAGAATAGATCGTTTATTAGATATTCAAGAAAGAAAGGTATCAAAGAAAAAAAGAAAGAGAAAAGAAGCTGATTTATATAAGATAATGAAAATACAAAATGAAATGTGTAAAAAAAAGTGTCACTCGTTATTAGAATTTGAAGATGATATTATTTGTAATTCGAATAGTATAAGCATTGATGATAGAGGAGATCTTCGGACTGAACTTAGTCGGCGACGAGCAGAAAGATTAAATAAATTATTACCAATCCAGTCAACTCGCTTACTGCAGTCCGCTTTTCAAGAAGTTGTAAATGAGTACGTTAATTTAAGATTATTTTTTTATATAGATTATAGTTAGATTAAAACATTAAAGATTAAAAATTTTATAGGACTACAGAAAAAAGTTTAAGAACAAATCGCAAATGTTTTTTTAAAGATCATAATGATTGTAAGTATTATAACTCCATTGTATAATTATTTATCAATTTCATAAATGTATAAATAATATTTTAAACTTAGATATTAAAAGTTGTATTATGTAATATTTTTTTAATTCATGATTCTATAATTACAAATTCTAAAAAAAAAAGTAAAACGTTATTTTTTAAGTTTTTCACGTTGCTTTTGTTTCTAATTTCAACATTTCTATTTTTTAAATAAATACGTAATAATAGCTTAACGTCAAATTTATATTTGAAGATTTATTACTTCTAAATTGTTATTTAATTTTAATAAAGTAAAGTTGTACATTCATATTTATAATTTTGATAACTGCCAAATTTCCTCTAAGATTGTAATTAATTTTTATAATAAATCTTAATATAAATAGGTATACTTATAGTATTTAATTTATAATATTTTTAACTATATATTTTATTTTATAAAATAAATCTAGGATTTATTCAATATATAATACAGAAAATATTTTTTCTATTAAAGTACTTTTATAATTTAAATGTATTTAAATCAAATTTGTTAAATTAATATAAACAAATTAATGATTTTAAAAAATTATGTAAATGTTATAAGTTTTAAACATATCCAGAGCATTTTTTTGAAAATCCAAGTGGTGTTATATATTTCATTGGTGCGATAACAATTGCTAATACTGTAATTGTTTGTTTTGAAATATATAGATAACTTCACAATAATATAGGTTAAGAGCTTTAAATTAATTAATGTTATCTTCATTATTTAAGAATACGTTAAAAAGTCAGTTGAAATGAAACACTATTTATTTTATTATTATATTTTAATAAAATAAAAGTAAAAATAAATATATTTGTTTTTCTGATTTTTCAAGTTTAATTAAAAGAAATAATATAATTATTAAATTTAACGATAAATATGCTTTTTATTAATTACTCCAAATATTAAATTGATTTTTATTTTTAAGTTAATTAGCCTATATTTTTATTAGATATTCAAATGTAAATAAAAATAATAAATTTTTTATAATATATAAACCTTTTCATATTTTATAATTCATAAAAATTATAAATTTAATTATTAAATTGTATATTAATATAAACGCACAAACCAAACAATCACTTTTTAAAAAATTTTATGATTTGAATGAAGTTTTTATGCAAAAAATTAAAAATTTGATTTAGATAAACATAATTTTACATTAAAATTTCATTATATAATTTTTCTTATAACCTTTGATCATCGCAACATTTGTGCAAATATACTTTATCGTCGAAATAGAAGATCTGAGGATTTTAAACATTCTATATTATATTATGTACAATTTCTTAAATGTTATTTATAAAAAATGTAGACAAATATAATTTATTAAATACACCATTTGCATAGGAAATAAAATTTTCTTTTTAATTTCTAAAACAAACATGAATTTTCAGATACCGGCATTTAACTGTTTATATTACTAAACTTTAGACAGATATACTAGTTTTGCTCAGAATTTATATTTTATATTAAGAAATTTGAGCTGATTTTTCATGGACAGATTATATCTTTTTAAAATGCAGTGAGTTTTTGTTATTACCTAAAAGAAAAATTTGGCAAGGAATAAAATTTCTATAAGTTAATCATTTACTAGAAGAATCTATGATTACATACTTATTAATAAAAATTATGATATGTATATCGATAAAATATGCCATACAAGATCGAAAATTTGAATAGTATGTATAATATAACAACTTTACATACGGAGTAAAATATCGTGCTATTTTATTATATATAGTTCGATTAACAGTCCAATTTTTTTAATTAATCAAGAATAAATGGATAAGTTTTATGTTATCTTCAGATCTTATATTTTGATAATCAAGTATATGTTTAAGCACATACAACGATGATCATGGGATTCAAGAATTAAAAACTAACATTAGTATATAAATATTTTATCGAGAACTGGTAAGGATCATAGCATCTTTTAATTAATTTCACATTGTTGTTGGTATTCATAAAATTAAGTAAATCAATGAAACATTATAAATTAATTTCTGAATTTGAATTAAAAACTGATTTAAGAAATTATACACTATTTATATACATTTACTTTACCTTAAGTAAATTGTTCACTTATTTTTAAATGTTTTTATTTTATAGGAAGTCATATCACAATAGAAGCCGAATTAAGCGATTGATTTGAAGAAAATAAAATGAATTCAATTTTTTAATTCATATAAATTTAGTAAAATGAGAAATAATGAAAAATTATTAATGCAGAAATATATATATATATATATATATATATATATATAAATAAAAAGTTAATAAAAACATACATACATAGATACATATTTCGTTATACCCAACCTTTTTGTCTATAGGAATATTAGCTAGATTTTATAAATTAATTAATTTCAAATTATAAAATCAGATTTAAATGTCTAAAATAAATAATTTACAGTTTTCTTGACATGTTTCCAGTAATTAAATCGTAAATTTAATTTATGTATCTAACAATATTCAATTTGATTAACATTATTTAACTTGAATTTTTTGTATATATTACTTGTTTGTAACTTTTACAAATGTAAATACAATTGTACTTTTACAATTTACTAAAAGATCAAATACAATTTTGGTTGATAATTTAACAAATATTAACAAATTATATAATGAATAATAGAAAAACCTTTAAAAATATACCAAAATATTTTGAATGAAATATCTATATGCAATAATAAAACAATATTTTTACTTATTGGATATATTGATAATGATAATATTTTATCAACTAGTTTTTTATATATCATATTAATGTTTACATTATATTATTGCTTGAATCTGGACATTTTTAAAGCAAATGTCTAATGAAATTAATTTTAATTCAGTATTTGCTAAATAACTCGCTATGTTCGTGATTAATTGAAATCTGCGAAAAAAAGGATTTCAAAACATTAGTTTTATATATATATATATATAAATTTATAGAAGCACTGGATTATACAATTATAAATTTTGTTACTTAAAAGTATATATTATATTTATTACCTCACAACAATTTATAAATTTATTTTATTTGTTATTTTATAAAATATTGATTAATTTCTAACATGTGCAATAAGTCTGTTCTTTGAAAAGCAGGAATTATATTTTTTTAAATAACATTGTTACAATGTCATTCATAATTTATAGATACTACGTATCTAAATAACAAAGTTGTGTCAATTGTAAGCTTTTTTCTAATGATTTTATTACAGATATGTGTTATTACAATAGAAAGAAATTTTTTATGATTTTACAAATCATGTATTCATTTAAAAGTAAATAACATTTGAAAAGCATCAACTTTGTAATTTATTTGAAGTACTTTACTTTTTCCAAAAATTAAAAAAATTGTAATTCCGTTTATTGCATGTTTAAGATAAATTAAAAATAAAATATAATCTATTATATAAGAATTTAGTTTTAAAGTTTGTGTTCAACAATTATTTCTTTTCCAAATTTAAATTAAAATATAGTGAGAAAATAACATCAGTATAAGTAGTAATATATTAAATAAATAATACTTAAGTTATTTATCTAGATATGTAGCAATCAATAATTTTGTGGTAAAATAACAAAAGCAAGTTTTATCTTCATTTTAGCTTTGACTTTTTACAATGTTATTTTACATATATATTTAATTATAAAAATTTGACATTAAATTCTTATTGTTTTTAAAAATTCGAATATACAATTATAAATTACAATGTATATTTTTCTATTCTGTTTTTATAATTTATAATTAGTTTCCTTTAAAGTGACAGTTCGATTGAAGATGACCTGTAACATATTTAACAAAATATAAATATAAATAGAAAAGAAAAATAGATAAAAATTAATAAATGCTAGTAACCTTTTCCGAGCTCGAATCAGGATCTACGGAAAAAAATCCTATCCTTTCAAATTGATAATTTTCGAAATGTTTAATAATTCTTTCAAAGTTTATATCCATATAAGCAAAAGTTTCTTTTTTACTATTATAATTAATATCACTTAGAAATCCATTTGGAACTTGATTTTCATCTTCGGGATTTTTGTGTTGAAATCTATTATTAAGTATGTAAATATTTTTAATCGTTATGAATTCAAAATGATAAAAAATAATTTTATTTATTACGTAATCACTTACAATCTTTCATATATCCTAACATGCGCTAAAGTAGGTTGAGATACCCATTGGATAAAAGCTTTTGGTTTATTTGCTTCAGAAATATTTTCTTGGTGTACGAGTATGTTTACTATTGAACCATATTTATCTTTTTTTATTTGTTGTACTGTGAGTACAACACCTGCATATTTTAAACCAACGGACTGTTTTAAAGTTAGCCTTCTAAACTTATTATCAGCTTCCTGAAAATATTTTCAATACTAAAGCTTAATTTGATGTATAATTAACATGTCGATTCTTTTCTTGCATAATATAAAATGGAATTATGTATTAATATTTAAATTAAATAAATATTGTATATTATAACTAATTTTAGAAATTATTTAAATATATTTAAGCTTATTTTGAGATAAGGATAAAAAATAATTTTTTTAATGTACATAATATTTGACATTTGTCATAAAAGTCCGACTGATTATATTTGTTTTTATTTTTCAATGTGATATTATTAATTTATTATTATGGCAATGATGAAAACTGCATTCACTCTCTGTCAGTTTCCTTGTTTTAGTTTTAAAGCATTTTATTATCAAGTTTTGTTCACGATTATAACCATCTTTTATAGGAATTAAAAAACATATTCATTATTATTCATATTAATGAAAATAAAATAAAATTGTATATTATCAATTTGTATTTTATTTATAATTTATTATAAATCTTATGTAAAATGTTATTTTAATAGATTCAATTTAATAGTATTATAAAATATATTTAAAATTAAAAACTAAATGTCACTTCTTGTATCAATTATAATTTAGTTTCAATTAATAAGTGTCACACGTGGAATAAATTTGAAATAAATAGAAACAGGTTTGTTTTGGTCAGTAAATACGTGTTTATAAATTGTTTTTCAGACTGACACTGACTCTTCTTTTATTTAAATCTTATTTGTATTATCAGCAGTTGTAGATAATCTCTTAATTATTATTAGTCAAAATTTTTATTCTTTGTATTTTACTATCTAGTAGTAGCATTCGATGTTTTTCGTTTGAGATTATTCTAAGTTTTTTTTCTAATACAATTTATTTTTGACTTTTGAATTTAGTATTAAATATATGTATGTTTTAAAAATGTTTAATATATATATATGTTATAAAATAGTATATTTATGTATGTGATAGTATATTATATTATATCTTATAAAATAGTTAAGTCGAATAATAAGCGTATTATCTTATCGGTTTTAAAAATATATTAAAAAATTTTTCATTCCAAAATTTGCAGTTAATTTTTATGGGAAACACATTGAATAATAAAAAGGGAAATAATATATAAATAAACATTGCATTATTTATAAAGAAAATAAATAAAAAATAGGTATCTTGAAAAAGCATAAATTTACTTAAGAAACTAATATAAACTTTAGAAATATATAATATAAAAGTTTTAATTATTTTTTATACTACTTAATATAAAAAAATCGGGAGATTTATTAACATAAATTTATGTAACAGTACTAGACATTTCATTACTTTTTTAACAAATAGGTTTTATTAAATGTTGAAGATTGTTCGAATGTCTTCTATAACACACTTAAACTTTCTGTGCAGAAGCGAGAAATATTCTTTGAAATTATTAAATAAATGTTTTATAAACACTTTCAATTCATATTTGATTTAATAATTGATTATTCATTCATATTATAACACACAAATTTTTATTATCAAAGTTTTTAAATTTTTAATTAATATTAATACAAGTTCTTCAAATTTATATAGAAAAATGTCTTCTAAATTACAGAAAAATTTGAGAAATTCATATTAATTTTTTTGAAAATAAGGTACTTTCAAATAATATTTTAAATTTCTAAATAAATGTATTAATTACACAATTAAAATTAGTTTTTACCCGTTTTTAAACTTTAAAAAAATCTAATTTTATTAAAATATTTTAATTAAAATATACTATTAAATATTAGTAGCTAATTATAAACTCAAAGTAAACTTTTTATTTAAATTAAATCAATTAATTTTCTTTGATTGATATTATTCAGTACAATTTTAATTGAAATATACATAATTAAATATATTTATCATATTACTATATATTATAATAATTATAATTTCTGAAAATAAAATATTTTGTGTTATGCTTGAAATATAAAAAAATTGGGTGCCTCGGTATTAATTTCTTTGTGTAAGTTAATAGCAAATTGTAACAACACAATTTGATGACTTGGATAAATCAACAGATTACATGTAATCGATAAGCTACATAATGCGTATTTAAATAATATGCGTGCTACAAAAGTCTGCCTAAGGAAATTTATTCACTATTGAAATGTGTAGTTATCTTTAGTTTTCTAAACAACTTTTATAAAAAAATATTATCTTTTATTTATATATTTATCAAAAATTTAAATATGCAAATTTTAATTGATAATAAATTTAATTGAAATTCCTAATCTTATTTATTTTAATTATGATTATATAGTATGAAAAAAACTATATCCATATGTTTAAATGAAAAATTCGAAATAAATATAACATTGTTATATTACTGTTTTTGTTTTAATAACAATGAGTTTACAAAAATTATATAAATACTTATTCATATTCAATTTAAATAAAGATTTTCTTGTATATTATTATAATGTAAACTGATCAATTATTATAATTTTGTTATTAATAGAATACGTACATATAAATTATTAAAATATTTTTGTAACTATACAATGAAAGTTATAGTATAGAAGGGAGTATCAATTATAAAATTAGATTTAATTATGATACATAAATTCTATTATGTTTGCGTGCACATTCATCATTCTTAATAGAAACAAATTTAAATGATTATCCAAATATCAAAAATAATTTTTAAAAGTAGTAATAAATAATTTTTTAAAATAATAAATAGTAGACGATGTATTATGCAATAGGTACAAAACAAAAAACTTTAATAAATAACAATATGAATATAAAATATATAGCAATGAACAACAGTGTAAAGTATTTACGTATTAGTTTTTAATTTATAATTTAAAGTTTATTAATCATGAAATAATGAAAGGATTTTATAGATGCATTCTGTTTATAAAAGTATTTTAAACGCGATAGTTTTATATGCGCATTTGATTATCGAATAATTACCAGTGTATATATTTATACGTCCTTCAAGCTTTCAATGAGAATTAAATATTTATGAAATAGTAATAGATATCATACAATTTTACAAATTAGAGCTTAGTAAAAATAAAACCTGATGTTATAGCATAAGAAAGTTTACGTTTTAATTTTGTATCACATTATAATTAAAGTGATTAACAAATTTTTTAATTTTTTAAAAAATTGTACTATTCAATTATTCCTTAATTTACAGCTTTTAATTGAACTATGGAAAAACTAGTACCAATTATCTCTAATGGTACATTTGATAATTTATGATTATACATAACTTTATAAAATTAAAAACTTACTTGACGAAAATCAGAAGATTCAATATAAATGATTTTATCAAAAATAATTGAATGGCTATCTTTATTTTTTTCACTTGGAATATTTGGAACACGTATCATTACTGGTTCGTTAGATGGAAAATTAATGATAGTTATTTTAAGTGGCTCTAACACTACCATATGACGCGCTGATGTAGTATTTAAAGTTTCTCTTACTACTGTATCAAGTACGGTAGGATCAACTATAGTTTGTGCACCTGTAACTCCCATTTGAGTACAAAATTTATTAACAGCTTCAGAAGGTACACCGCGTCGTTGAAGAGCAGACAGAGTTAATAACCTGGGATCGTCCCAATCGCTTACTACTTTTTCATTAATAAGTTTTCCTATCTTTCTTTTAGATACAACAGTATAACTAATGTTTAATCTTCCATATTCCCATTGAACAGGACAGTATATATCTAAAGCATTACAAAGCCAATAATACGAGGATCTCCTTGATTGAAATTCTTTAGTACATAAGGAATGTGTTATATTTTCAATACTATCGCATAGACAATGAGTAAAATCATATGTTGGATAAATACACCATTCATCTGCAGTTCTATGATGATGTGAAAATTTGATACGGTATGCTACCGGATCCTGTTTACCTTCTTCCAGAGTAACTTTCATACGTAATGTAGCTTCTCCCTCGTCTAATAGCCCATCTTTCATGTCTTGAAAAATTTGTAAATTTTCAGATATAGGTCTGTCACGCCAAGGACTAGATATAGGATTAAAACCTTTAATTTCACTACTAGATTGATGGCAAACATACGCCAAACCTTTTTTTATTAATAAAACAGCTAATTTAAATAATGAATCAAAATAATCCGAAGAAAATGTAATTTTGGTAGGTTTATATCCAAGCCATTGGACAATATTTGAAATTCCCTTAACAAATTTTTCTTCTTCTTTTTCCGGATTTGTATCATCATATCGTAAATAGCATGAACCATTATTTGTAGCAGCATATCTATAAAAATAATTTATAAAATGAATAATTTACAAAATGGTTTATAAATTTATAACTAATTCAGAACAATCAAAATACATATTTGATGTTATATTGAATATTTAAGGTAGTGGAAAAACTCAGTACAATTCCGTTTATTATTAAATTCTAAGTTTAAAATCATTTGAATGATATATTTTCATTAATTATTAAATAATTATCCAATTTAAATTTTATAGAGATGGAATTTGTAAAAATTTTTACAAAAGAACAATATTTTTGATAAAATAATGTTATTTTCAATATTACATTTTTGTTTTATTTATGCAATTCAACACATTTTATAATTAAATATTATAAGTTGTAAACAATATCATTAAAAAATGTCACATACTGAATCAGTAAAAACTAAATATTAAATTTGAAAATTTTATTGATTTGAAACAAAAATTGTACACAGAAATGAATAATTACATAGATATATTAATTTTATATTTATAGGTTCTATTTCTGAAGTAATTCAATAGAAAATTAATTATACTAATATAATTTTATCGGGCGTCTTAATAACATTTGATTAAAAATTCTTCTTCTTTGCAATTAGGGTACTTCAATTTAATGCTAAATACCTACATTTAAACGAAAAAAGAAAATTCATATTCCATATACTTCTGTATGAAATATATCGAGAAATATTTATATAAAATGTCATTCTATTCAATCCAGAATTTAATTTAGTATCTACAATTTTGCTAGTGTTTCTAATATCTGAATTTTTTTTATTAGACATCTATGTATCATAAAACTAGCAATGTTTTTAAAGCAACTATATACATATATAGATTCTCTGTATCAGATGTACAAATAATAGATTACTGTTGCGGAAAATAAATTTAAAAAGACAAAAATTATTTTTCTATAGCATAATAGAAGTATTATAATAAAATAAACATACTATAAGTTATATATAATTAAGATAGGCAATATGAACTGCAAAGTTTTAACAAATAAAGTAGTATGTTAAAGGAATAATTAAATTTCTTAATAATTGCAAGTTAAAGGAATTTTTAATTTTATTCTTACAAAAACTATTTGAATAAATAATCAAATACGAAACTCATAAAAACTTGAAAAGTAAAAATGATGTTATATCATATAAGCGTTTGATAAATTTTATTTTCTAGGGAATATAGTAAAAATTTAAGCAACTTAAAAGAGTGCTTATCTTTTCATAGAAATATTTATATTATGAAACTTATTTACAAATATGTAACGATTGAAGATTTGTATAAATATAACTAAACTTAATATACATAATAAATAATATCGCAGATAAACAGAAATTAAATATATAATGTCGTAGTTTAAAATGTATATTCTTAATTAAAAGTAAGAATTCAATTTTGTACTTATATGAATAGAAGTTTAACGTCTGTATGTGCGTATGAAAATTATTTCTTTTTTTAATATTCAGTACATAATCAACAGGCATAATTAACATAAATAACAGATCCTTGGTGAAGTTTAAATTTTATAGTTATATAAATAATTATACACTTTTTTACTTATATAACTTATATGTAAACTAATTAAAGTATATTAACATTGTTTTAGTATAATTTAATACTTAATATAATTTAATTTTAATTTACTTATATTTTATTTTGTTAAAAATATATTCTAAACCTAAATATATTCTAAAAATATCTTCTATAACCAAACGCCCTAATGATTGTTCTTTTTAATAAATCATTCTAATTACATTTTCTTAGAGCTTTATTAGTGTGCTACAACATTACTAAAAATCATAGATTATATTTTTATATATTCTACTAATTTTATAATTATTATTAATTATAAATATATTGATATTTTATTAAGCCATTAATGTTAAATACATTTTTTAATCAAGTGCTCTTCAAGAAATCTTTCTCTAATCAAGAAATAAATAAAAGCATTACTAAATAATTGATACTTAATTACAAAATATTCTTAAAAACGTTTTAGCAATGTATCTAGAAATTTGGCAAGCAAAATTATAATTTGATTAAAATGGAGAATTCAATACAAGTTATTCTTTGATTCGTTCAACTTTTATCTTTATTTTTCAGATGATTGCACTTTTATAATGAAATTATTTCCTTTATAATTTACTATATTTCTTGTTCTAATATTTTGTTTTAGAAATATAAACCAAGATGTACAAATGGAAATTATTGAAAAAGAAATTCCAAATTTAATAAATAATTACTGATAAAAATTAATTATAGAACGTTAATTAATATAATGTTAAATTATAAAGAAATTTTTGTAGAAAATCAAAAAATATTGATTAGAAAACTACCAATTTGAATTTTAGATTCGAAGTGTACAAGGAAACCGATTAAAACTCTATACTTTAGGATACTTTACTTATAAACAAAAATTTCCAATATTAAGCAAATCAACTTAAATTAAGAATTAAAAAAATTAAATAATACATTTTTTAAATCTTTACAATTTATAAACAAATCAATCAAATAAGTACATGTATCATAAAAAACATTGAATTGAATTAATAAAATAGTTATATACTATATACTTTTTATGAATTTTAAAGAATATATATAAGTAAGGGAATTGGATAAATGATAGAAAGATATAACAAAACCTACTTTTAATGTTTGAACAATGTAATGAGAATCACATTTGTAAATGTTTTATGACTATTATTTATAAAATATGAAATACTTACATAAACTTTTATATGTAGTAATACTGAAATTTCTAAATACTTATACAAAATACATATATATTATAAATAACGAATATTATTATAGAAGTATTTAATGTATATTTAAATAGAATAAATCTGATCAATTACCCAAAATTTATATTTATTGCTTTTGCATGTCCAATGTGTAGTATTCCATTAGGTTCTGGTGGAAATCGAGTTCTTATTTCGCCACCGGTAATAAGTAAATGTTCTTTCAATAACCTTTGTGTATTATTAGTACAAATATAGCCATCAGTTTTAAAATTTTCTCCAGGCTTATGAAAATGAATTTTCGATTTTATTATATCATTTATTTTAATTGATTCTGAATTATTTGTTAAATATTTTTCAGATGTATTTTCTATAAAAGATAATATATTATTATTTATTTACGATATAAATTGAAGTAAAATAATTAATGAAACTAATATAATTTTAATGAAATTAATTAAATAATTTAATTTTCTTTCAATTAGTTGTTTAAAATAGACAATCAGTAATTTAATTCATTTTTATAAATTTATAATTTTACTTGTTACACAAATTATAAAAAACATGTTTTAATTTTTAAATAATTCCAGACATTAATCCATATAATATATAATAATAATACATAATTTGAACAATTTATAAATTATAATTTACTTTAAATTTTGAAAAGTTAATAGCATTTAATTCATATATTTTCTTTAATATGAAATGATTTCTTCTATTACTTTTTTTAAGAATCATCGATTCATTGACACATTTAATTTATAATAAATACGGCTTCATACAGAGTATATAAAAATTAGTTGGGTCCCAAATCTTTTTGATACTTCATTTTAGTTAATTCAGTCTTATATAATGTCTATTTTTTAATTCTCATTTACGTTCATTACACTTACGAATCACATATGATTGCAATTCCTTTATTATAATCTGTACCTGTATACGTAACGATATCAATATAAAATAATTTTTATAATTATTCAATTGTTTATTATCTATTTATTTATTTATAATATTTTATATACTCCTTGTGTTTCAATTTTTCTTCGAATGAATTGTTATATCCTTACTTTAAACTCAAATTTAATTTTACATTTTTAATAATAATAGGTGTTTAAATGGAACCACTAAACTAATAGCTTTTTAATAAAATATGTTATTAATAATTTAGAATAAAGCTTCGCTTACAGTATTTTATACATATTAGCAAATATTAAAATATAAAGTTGTATACCATTACATTTCTCCGATTTAATTTGATTGATTTGTTTTGCTTGTTTAATTAATATGCAATCACTTTTTAGTTTTTCACCTAATAAATCATATAACTGTACATCAATTTCATTTTTAATAGTTTTTCCATCTGCCCATTTTAACGAATTTCGAATTTCTTGCATTAAAATACCACTGTTGAATCGATATCTATGGTATAAATTATTAAAATTAAAATATTATTCATGAATAAGAATAAAATTGTGGAAATATTGTTTCATTTGAATGAAAAAAATATGAGTTCTAATAGTCTAAATGATATATTATGAGTTACAGATTTTAAATTAGGTACAAAATTATGTATTATTTATTTTATAAGTAAATTATAATCAAAGTCAATTTAAACTTTAATTATATACCTTTTCAGAGATACTAATGACAGATATTTAGAAATTTCTATTTCAGTTCTTAGATATCGTCAAATATTTTTTAGTTTCTTTAAATACATTCGATAATTAATTTTTATACAGTATTCTATTACATTACTCAGCTATCTCTATGTAGAAGAGATTAGTAAATGAATTAATTCTTAATAAGTACTGTAGTCAAACCTGAACTCCATACAAGATTAACAGAACAAGAGAATGAGAGAGGTCTAGAATATCAAGCATTCTAATGTAAAAATAAAAAAAAATCCTCTAAGTAGCTGATGTCTATATATTCAATGATTCTCATGATGATTAAGTAAATTTTTAATGATAAAAATGTAATCTACTTCATCTGGAAATATATTTAGAATAGTGACATTTATGTATAAATAAAGCATTATTAACAACTAATTCTTTTTTTTTATTAATTATTTTTATTTATTAATTAAATCAGTAAATAAAAATATATATTATGTAAATATATCCAATAAGTTATAGAAGGAATATTGATTTGTACATTTTCCTGTGTAGTTTAATCATAATGTACTTATAAAGAAGACTACTACTTATAAATACCACATAAAATAAATAATTACAAAATTTTACATTTCAATTATAATCTATAATTTTAGAAACAAATATATATATTCAAATTAAAAATAACTTAATATAAATGATAACTATTAGTAGATTTTTTATGTTTTATAACTTAAAGTTTGAAATATTTTTAATAAAATTGATTTATATGTTACTAACATCTTTACTAACAAGTAATTTATTTCTCAGTGTTTTATAATTATTACATATATGTTACTATTGACAAACCTTTTTTCTATTATTTCATTTTTATATTTCTCAATGCACTTTTCTACTTCTTTTTTAATTTCTTCAGATGTAATCACTATTCCAAAACCACAGGCATTAGAAAATTCGTCAAAATTAACAACTTTTCCTAGATTGTGTAATAAATAGTTCAATGCACAATCCAATCTTTGAACAGAATCTAATTTCTTTTCAATAATGCATTGAGTAAGAAGTGGAATAGTATTTATTATCTGCATTTTTATATTACTAGCAAGATGATATATAAGGGTTCCATTTACATTATTAATCGTACCATATTTTACAGCCTACGATAAAATAAAATTGTTAAATAAGTTTTGAGCACATAATTTTAATTCATATATATAATGAAAAAATTATAACATACACATATATATATATATATATATATATATATATATAATATACACTGAATAAATTAATTAGATTAATAAAAAACGTTTTAAATTTTTGCTAATTTGAAGAATTTTTGTTAAAGTTATCTTTGAAGAAATTGATAGAAGTTTATCAAAGTTTTGTTAAATTAAATGATATTTCAATATAAAAAGTGATATAATAGTTATATTATTTTTCAATTATCAAATAAAAATTTGTTAATTCCAACCAATGATAAGTCAAACATTGTCTATTAAGGAAACTGAATCTCTTCAATATATATAAATACACACATAAATGTAGATGTGCTTATATATATATATATATATATATAATATTGTTTAGATTGTAAACTATTTTGTTACAATAATTTATTTATAATTTTTATATTACTATAACATTTTATTTAAAAAAATATAATTTAAACATTTTACCACAAACTTATTACTTATAAGCATAATTTCATAAAAATAAATAAAAGATATAAACATTGAAAAAATAACAATTAATTATAAACAAAGCCTAAATACTCAATAAAGAAAGTAAATAAAATGCAAATTATTTGATATTTATATATATATTAATCAAATAAAATATTGTATAATTAGCATTATTTTACTAAAAAAATTAACAAATTATATTATAAATACAAAACTAAAATTAATAACCAAAGTAATAATATCTAAGAAAAAATAAAAGTATAATATAAAAATGAATTTCAGACTACAACTACATGAAATACAAGATTTGACAATTTAATTATTAATAAGAATTAAATAGAAATATATCATATTAACATATATAAATATTAAGAGTAGAAAAACTTTGATAAGAATATTATTATAGAATATAGATACTATAATGGTATAAATAATAAAATAAAATTTAATAAATGATTTGCGATATAAACATTTAATTGTAAATAGTTTAGCGTTATATACAAACATTAGACGTTATATATAAAACGTTATATATAGTCAGAAATTGTTTTTCATAAAGTTTTTAATTATTTGATATTACCATTCAAATATTATAAGTTATATCTTTAATATAAATGGATAATTATCGATACATAATCTGATACATATTCTACTCTATAAAGCAGTTCATATAAGTTTTTAAAAATTAGTTATGAATATTATAAAATCAATTATAAATTACAATTTATCATGTTACATGTTATACAATACATTTAAATAAAGAATTATTAATGATAATTAAAGGTATATTCAAGCATTCAATTTTGTCAATTATTTTATTTTGTAATCCAAAGTTTTATTAAAAAAAGGAGAATATAATAAATTGTTAATATTTAGAATTAAAATATCATCTTTTACTTTTCAAGGAGTTGTGATAAATTGTTATAAAACTTCACCAGATGTTAATCAGTTTTATAAATAAATTGTATAATTTTTAAAATTAATATTAAAAGTTAATACTATACATCTTAAAATATACGTACTTTAATGAACCCTACTGTAATGAAAATAACAAAATTTAAATCTAATATAAAATGAAAAGAAAAAACTAATATTTACATTAAAAAAGAATGCTTCTTTTTATAATATTAATGTTTTGCCCGAGTAATATATTTCAATTATAAAAACAACATTACAAGAAATTTCTCTCAAGAATCGATCTTTATAATAGAAATTTACGAAAAATAAATATTTAAAAAATCTAACCTCATTAATTATTTCTTTTAAGTTATTAGTAACTTGTAGATTTTTTAACGTTTCTTTTGCTTTTTGTTCACTTAAACCAATAGATTTTAATAATTGAATATCTTTTTCCATTTTTATTAAAATGAAAAATGATATAAATATATAAAAAAAATTAGATAGACTGTAATATCTTATAAAGATACTAAAGTAACTAATATAATTTATGGAAAATGTAGAATGCATTTTTTAAAAGCATGCGCAATGATGGCCTAAACTTATTGGCTCTTCAAATACATGTAATGTTACTACTGAGTTCTTTTTATAATTATTGAAAAATGATTAATAAAAATATATTGCTTGAAGAAAAAAGTATAAAATAAACTTTATTTATATATAATAATTTTCTTTATAGATAATATATAAACTAATTTATTCATTATTTTAATCTCTATATCAGATTTAATATTTTAAAAGTAAATATTTTTCATACATTTCTTATTTAAAATGTACTACAATTATATTATTTCAATATATTTACTATTTTAATGTATTTATATTTATATTTATACAAACATTAAAGTTATTTTACTAGATGTGAAATATATTTAAATTACAATTTTGTATATAATAAGACAAAATGTTGTAATATGTTTCGATATATCCGAATGTATTCTCCGAATGTTAATGTATTCTCTGTTTTAGTGATGTAATATGACCAAATTATATAATTAATATTTAAATACTAGCATCGAAAGGTGCTAGTATTTAAAAAATAAGTATTAAAAGTATTTAAATAAATTATTTTATATTTTCTATTATTGACAAACAAAAATATATTTTATAATGATTTTCATTTAATTCAGACGCACCATTGTTATTGATACTTTTTGAAAACTATATTGAAATAGCAAGCATTTGTAAAGCCAATAAATTTTTATTTACTTATTTTATATTACAAACGTTCGTTTTCATCTTTGTCGTTTTTACTTTTTTATCATTATATTTTTATCATCTCTTAATAGTATATTGTTACTGATTGGAACGATCACAATAATACATTAAGATTTTATTTCATAATTTCATTCGTTACATAATAATCATATTGAAACTATTTAAAAAAGAATTTTTATTCTTGATCTTTTAATTTGAACAAAATTAATATCTATCAAAGGTGGTATCATTGGTACTTTAACGCAGATATAGTTATTGGACAAATTTATTTTTATTAACTTAATTAAAAAAAATAACTTCAGAGATTTTTTCATTTGAATTACATTCTTATATGACCAGTATTATGGAAATATATGTATATCGATTAGTTTACAATAGAATTTACTGTAAACATCAAAACATCAAAACGTATTACTTTATACTATAGCCAATACTTTTTAGTTACAATACAATAGTTCTTTAATATATTTTCATCACTATATACAATAAATAAATCTTTATAATTTTACATTATTAAATATTTCTTTTTTTTCGAAAGATACTTGTTTATTTGAAATAAATTCTGTTATTTTTTCACAATTTTATGAAACATATCAAGGAATGAACGATTTACGTAAATTTCTCTATAATATTTTGTATAATATTTAATATAATGCAATATAATATAATGTATAATATTATTTTTATTTTTTAAATAATTTCTTAATCCTAAATTTTTTTATGTTTTTTTATTTTAAAATTTCGCATAGTAATTAATTTTCTTGAGTTAAAATTTAAACTATTTTCACTTAATATATGTTGTGTTTTTTAATTTCTTGCCTATTAAGTATTTATTATTAGATTAAATTACAATTTCTGTACTTATGGAAATCTGTTGTAAAAAATTAAATTATCTATAGAATGAAATATTTTTTTTGTTTTGCATACTTCCTAACGCGTTATTTATTAGTTATTAAACTTTTATGTATTCTTAATAAGTATGTCATTATTTCAAATTAACAATGACATAATGTAATATTAAAAACTTATGTGTACGTTTATTTTTCACGTATTGATTTAATAGAATCTAAATAATAGGTTCAGAACAGTATCTCCAACTTCTAATTATATCTATTAAATCCAAAATATTGTATATTGATTATATATTACTGAAACTTTATTTAGATAAACCAAATTCATTTTATTTATATGATTTTATTAGATAATAAGTACAATTCTATAAAACTGTAATTTTTTAAGACTATAGTAGTTACTTGAAATTGAAGAAATAAAATTCTTTTCTATGTACAAGCTTTTTGTTACGATATCTTAGAGTTACTATTTACAAAGATATAGTTAATATACCTAGATAAATTTAACTTCACGGATAAATTTAGTTTATTATTTCAAAAAGATCAAGTAAGATTTCGTTAATAAAGATTAATTCATTTAAATAAATTGCTCATTTTAACTTAAAACCTGAATTTGAAATAAGTTGATTTCTAATTCAGCATCCTGATTTTAATTCTTGATGAACCTAAAAAATCATAACAATTTAATATGTAATTTTTATTCAATCTTTTGTAGTGTTCTTTGGGTGAATCAGCTTTGATATAATTTGTATATGATAATTTAATATGATTTATAATTTTTCTACATGTTAGATTTGCACAGGTTATGATAATTCACCATTTAGTCCACATAATTATAATAACTTTTTTCTCATCTTATAAATTTCTTCAATTTGGGTTTGTCGCGATTACTCTATACTTTATACTTTATTATTACTGTGAATTAAATTTACTATATCTTTTGTTTCATCACATTTCTTTAAATATTCGATTAAATACATATTTCTTCGGAAAAAAAATTTAGGTCCTACATTTGTTTTTATTTATTTTTGAAAATATTTAATAAAGATATAATTTGTTCTGCAAATTAATATCTGGCCTGGTTTATTTGAATTGTCATACGTTTGCTTAGCATTTACGCAAAGCATTTTTTTTCAGAGTAAAAAATTTTGTTTCTATTTTATTTGTATACTTACTCTTAGGTGTAGATATGTAGTTCGATGATTTATTAGAAATATTATTATTTATTAAATAAAAATTTGTCTTTTTTAAATTATTGTAGTAACCAAAATATTTATTATATCAACTGTGTTGCATTTTGCTAGCTAAATCGCAACTTTAAGTGTATTTTATTGTTCATTTTGTATTAGACGAAATCAATGTATATAATATGTACCTTAATATGGAATTTCGCTCTCGTACATTCTGAAGTAGTTGTCGCTCTTTGCAAACACGTATTCAATATTTGAAAAATCTTTATACTCTTACTTTTGTGCTTTCTCTTACCTTCATAGTCAATTGCTAAATGAAGTAACAAGTCCTTTTAACATGGTATTGTGAAACGTATTATCCATCATCACTTACTACGTATGAGTATCATTTTCATCTAGCGTTAAATAATTTGTTGACCATTTGAAATACTTACAAATATATTATTGTTTTATTAGCATAAAAAAGACTTTATTATAATTGAATACTCAATCTCTTTGTTTTATTTATAGAATACCGTCAGTCATGATTATTAATTAGTTTTTTAAAAAATTAGAAAATACCAAAAATTAAAATAGATTCTCATATAAAATATTTTTTAAACTATTAAAAACTTATATAAATAAAAATTTAAATGATTAATACTCGAATTATGAACAATATTTTTTTTATATTTTTTATAAAATTGAACATTACATATTGCTTTTCACATCTTTAAATGCAAATTTACTGAAAGTTTTTTATAATACTCATAACTTATATAATCTTTATAATATTTCAAAAATCATTTTTTTATATACCTAATGTAATACCTTTATCTATAACTTTTATATATTTTGCACTAAATATGGGTTTAAAATAGTTAAATAAAAACTGCAATTTTTTTGTTTCTTAATGTATTACATGTACAACGATATTAATGGCCACTGCTGTTTAATTTCGTAGAAATCAATCGAATTTTTACATATATACCATAGACATTATTTTTTACATTTATAATTACTGAAATTAATATTTTGTTATATACTAATATTGTATGTAAGTCATATTAAGTGTAAAAATGAAAGAATGAAATTGTTCCTTATATATTTTTTTATTTTTATTCTGAATTTCTTTTCATGAATTCCACATATTACAAATTGTCCAAGATTTTACAGAAAAAGAATGTCTCCTAATTATTATTTACCTTTTTTTTAATAGCTAGGCCTTTTCTTTTTCACTTGAAAATCAAATATATTGATTACTTCTTTCTTCGTAAATATTGTATTTTTATAAGAATTTTAATCAAAATATCTTTAAAAATTTTAGAGTCTCTGATACTAATATAATGTCTATATTTAATATTGTATATTATTCTCCACATATTCCTATTTTTGTAATTGAAGACAAAAATTTTAGATTTAGATTTTTCAAAAAATTCAAACAATATTTTATTTACCAAAAATGTTTATAAATCCTTATTATTTTTTATTCGTATTACTTTCATCAATTACTGATATATCGATTTAAATAGTCATAGTAGTCATATTAAACATTAATTAACGTTAATGAACAAATATTATGAATGTAAAAATTTTGTCTATGCTATTCAAACAAATACTTATCAAACACATAATTATAACAATAATTTCAATATCTAAATTTAGACATCTGGGGAGTGTTTACCTAAGAAGTACAAATTAACAAGAATAATAAACATAAACAACTGTTTTAAATGTCAATAAATGATACATTTCAATCACATTTTATAGAATTAATTGCCTATATATTTTGATTAAAATAGGCATAATTATTTCACCTTTGTATTTTGTTTAAAAAATAATTAATAAAACTATATTTAATTTTATTTAATACAATTTTAATAATTAATCTTTTTCTAGTCCGATCATTCTTACTATGATTTACTACAAGCTTCTACAGTAATATATTACAGTATTTTTAATATACTTTTAAAAACCTATTATGGAAATATATATCATATATTGCCATTAAAGTGCAAAACATACTACATTTCTGGTCTTCAAATAATTTCTTACGCAATTGTACTTATTTACAAATTTGAGTTATTTAAAAAATTATATTTTTACCAACTTCACATTATTTTTATTCTATTAAGAAATTACAAATTGATAACAGAATCTTTTTACATTTCCATAATGAGTATAACTCCACTTTATTCCATTTTTATATATTCCTTAAGTAATATACTATCTTTTGGAAATTTAAGTTTAAAGAACTCCGACATTGCATAAATTGATTAACCTGCCTCAAAATTAAAAATGTTATATAAAAAAATGAAATTATGATAAATTTGTCGCCAATTACAGAAAAAGAATTACTTATACGTTGATATAAAATCTTATATTTATATTTTTGTAGTTATTATTAGAAAATTACAATTATTTACGATTGCTTAGTAAAATAATTAAAAATTATTTATATATATTTATATAAAATTATGTATAGATATATATAAAAATAAATATTACAATAATACGACTCATTTGTTAGTTAAAATAAAATTATTCAAGTGACTGTTTGAAAATGAATATTTTTATAATAAAGAAGGTTTTGTATATAAGCAATAATATAAAATAATAATTATAATTTGCCATATTTGCATATCATGTTCAAAAAATCATATAAACATATTATACGATACAGTACTATAGAATTAAGTGAATCAGAAAAAATATGATAATGTCTATTATGAAAAATTTTATGTTATTGTAATTCGATGTACATTTAACATTTTAACATATAATCGACGATTTAAATTATTTTATTAGATGAACTTCGATCATTTTAATTGTTTTTCTTTTTTACCTATCAACGTATATTTAATTGCATCTCATTAAAAACTTAATTCAAGATTATATACATTAAATAAATACATATTGATTATATATTATATTTTATTTTCAATTTTTAGTATTGAATAATACATATATAATATATTATTTATAACTTCTTAAATGTTTATGTCAGAAAAATTATAACCTTATAGCAATAATCTTTATGATTAAAATATCTTTATGAGTACTTATTATTAAATGAGTTGTTTTTTTTTTAATACACTTGAATACTTTTGTCAATAATTTAATAGAGAAATTACTAATCAGTATTACTTATAGCCATTTATATGACCCAGAATAAATTTATATTTTCAGTCTAATATTCAAACACCGAATTGCTTATCAAAATGAAGACAGTTAAAATCTTGAAAAAGGATGGACGTGCCAAGATCCAAATTAGATACAACTAAACGTCCTTCAACACATAACTAATGCATGTACTGTACACACTGTACGCACAGTATACAAATTCATGAGTGCATATGTTCTTTACGTAAACTATTTTAGCGTTATTCAAAATTACCATATTTTTTTGTTTATGAGTATCCATTTATAGCATTCTTCCATTTTTTTGGAGTATATCATTTAATGTCTTTTACAATAAAATCTATTTTCCATGTCTATTAATAAATTCAGTCTACAATTTATTAATTTGTTTATTTAAAAACAATACAATCGCATAATTATTACTGCAATGATAAATCTAAATTCGCAATAATTACCACTGTCGATAAAAATGAAACGAAAATGTAAGACATTAAAAACACTTTTTCTTTATTATATGTTTGTCAAAAATAATGAACCGCTTAAAGAATAATATTTTCTAGAATCTGCTTACTACTCATTTAAATCTGATATATCTGTCGACGGATTTTCCTCCGACTACGAACTATCATAGTCTGGTAGATTGAATAAAATTACTATTAATTAAAGTTATTATCTAGTTTAATAAAATAATATTAATTTTTTAATTAAATAATTTCTTTACAAATAATTGTCATAATGTTCAAATATCCAATATTGATCAATATAATTGAAGGAAAACTGGAATAGGTTTCAAATTAATTTAATTCTTATTTTAGTTATATTATTTTCATTCTTATATTAATATAAAGATATTAACTTGAGTATTTACGATTTAAACATCACGATGGTAAGAAAAATAATTTACAAAAATATAACATTAAAATTTTAAGGAAAAAATAATTAGGGCTTACTGAATAATATTATAAGTTTCAGTTCTTTCAGATTAATTATGAAATTCCTATGTACTAAAAAAATTTTCAATTTTAAGTCAACTTATGAATAAAATAAGAAATTAAAAAAAATAATGCATTAACAAATAAAAAATATTTATAAAGTATTATTAATGATTTAAAAGGAATCTTAATTAAGAAAGGAATTTATTGAGACACTGAATTGCAAATATATTTAAAAAATCAAAATACGATTATTTAATAGTCAGTTTTAATAATTTTATTCAAACCATGGAGAATAATATTTCAGCTAGAAATAATTTTTATTGGCACAATATTTCAGAATTTGATTAAAGTATTTACAGAATCTACAATTAACAGCGCCTATATTTACATTATATCAGGGTATTTTTTATATATCATTTAAAATAAAATTTTATATATTTTGGTTTATTATTTCTAAATCTATAAACAAATATTCTATTATATTTTCAGGAAAAGTAGAAATATAAGAGTCGAATTACTTTACGTTATATAGGGGCGATACAAGGACTCCTGAATATCTGAAATACTAATCTGACTGTCATACGAATTTTGTATTAATTCAGTTGATTTACATGTTAAATCATTTAAATTATTTCTACATTTCTGATTATCAATTTGAATAACTTCTGAATCTTGTCCTTTTGTATTTGACCTCGTTTCCTGCTGGGCTTTTTTATTTCTTTTCCATTTCATTCGACGATTTTGAAACCAAATTTTCACCTATAAAAAATTAAATATACAATATAGTTCTAAACAATATTCTATAATACATTATTATAATATATTATATTTAAAATTGAAGTAATAGGATTGAATATTAATAAGAAGGAATATTTGAAGATAGATTATTATTTTTATTATTATACAAAAATTGTAGTAATATTTTTTTAAATTATTAAAAGTATTAATAAAATTTTTAATGAACAAGTGAAATTTAATGAAAACACTGACTGTAAGGAAAGGATGAATTAATAAAGCATCGCAATCTTTATGTAGTTCTAATAATTTATGTTGTTACTCGACTGATTTAAAAACATTGAAATTTGAAATTGATTATTACTAGATAATATCTACTTCCATACTACTTATAAATATTTGTAAATGTTAATGCATCAAATATATTTGAGTTATATATGAAAATCATTATAAAATAACTATTATAATCATTATTTACAAGAACAATAAAATGTATAAGTAGAATTATTCATTAAGTATGTTTTTTTTTACGTATTAAAAATATTTCGTATTATATTTCGTATATCTATATTTTTAAATTAAGCATAAGAAATTAATATTTAGTATAATTAAATGTTTAATCCATGTTGTTAATAGTATAATACCGAAGTGATAACATAATTTAAAATGAAAAGTTAAATAGTATTATATGAAATCTTTTTTTTTTTTTTTTTGTTATCTGTCATCAATACATTTAAACAAATCATATTGATAATATTTATTGATAATATTATAGATTAAAAAGATGTCATTCATACATATGTGATACTATATAATCAAAGAATAAAGAGGCCTAAAGTATATTTGAAGCCCAATCTTATTCTGGAAGATTACTTTTTTGTGTATATTTGATACCTCAATACTTCTCTATACTTATATTCAATCATTTTACAATAGGTGTCTGTATATTTAAACACATTTTATTAGACGCCCTTCTCATCCATTTTTGTGCTTTAAAAAAAAATTTTTTATTATAAAAATAATTTTGTTTTATCTATTTTATTATTTCTTACTATTATCGATTAATTTATTGCTATTTTAAATATGTAATTATTATGATTGTTGCCACATTACTCATTATTTTAATATTACTTCATTCTATTTTAAATGTTTCACTTACATACTGCTATTTGCAGTATTTATTATTCATCATTTACATGTCTCTGCTCTATAATTTTTTTTCGTAAATTGAACAGATTAAGTTTAATTTAAAAATTTAGAAACTCAATAAAAGTTTAAAACAAACATTAAAATTAAAATGTTTTAAAAAAGTAAATATGAAGTTACAACAAATTTGGCCTTAATTTTAATTATAATTTAAACGTTGCAATTATAAAACGGATGTTATAATAAGTTTAACATACTTTTACTTGATATATTATGTATAGAATTTCAGAACTTAAATTATATTTGTTATCATTAAATGCACATTTTTTTATTGGATCATCTTTATCTATAATGATAAAGATGTATTTTTTATACGACTGCTAGTATAGGATGAAATAACGATATTATGTGTATTGGCATTAAAACATTATATCTTTTTTATAACAATCTTTTATACAACTGGATATTCATCTTTTGTTAATATTAATCTTGTTCACATGTCTTCAACCATTTTTTCATAGTTTTATAGAATAAGTTCAATAAATTGTTTTCCGGATGTATATTTAATTGATTTTTCTTTATCTCTTTCAATATTTATGTCTTTGGAAAATTTAAAAAATTTATCGCTTAATACATATTAAATATTTATATACGTGGTGGCTTTATATCTTCTATTTCTATTAATAAAATTGTTGTTTTGTAAAATCTTATTTTTTCGCTTTTCTTTTATTATTTTCTTAAAAATGAAATTTGTGTAATGTAAGATAAATTAGTATCAATATATATATATATATATATATATATAAAATAAACAATATTAGAAATTTAAATATATATAATATTATAGATTTTTTAGAAAACGTATATCCTCTATATAATTAAAATAACTTATTTTAGCAATTGCAAAACTTATATTTAGTAGCAAGATGTTACCTTTTGATCTCAAATAGATTAAGAAAATCTTTAAATCAATGGAAAATTCTCCTTTGTTGGTAACGTTTCTCAAGGTCAAGAAATATGAAAAACCTCAAATCAAAAAATCAAATATAAATTTATTGATAATAAGTAAAAAATCCTTTATTAATTAAAAAAAATTATTTTATACCATATTTATTTCACTATAACATTTAATTATTTTTTTCCTTTATTTTGTAGTTCATCAAAAGAACGAAATATAAGAGAGTGATAAAAGATTAAAACATAAAAAAGTGGTTTAAGTTGACAAATTTAATACTCTAGATTTTTTATAAAAAGATAACAAATAAACATTTTTAATAAAAATAAGTTCTTAGAGATAGTAGATATAGTTTTTCAAATATATTTAGATCAACTTCATTTTACTTTATTGCATTTGTTAGTTTTTTATTATTTAAATAGGCTTATGTTTAAGGCAGGTAAAATCATTACAAGATTAATAACTAAATATCAAATAAAATTTGTAATGATCTAACTCAGTTTACATTGAATAATTATTATCGATATTTTAAACTATCTAGATGAGATACATATAAATATTTCACTCAATGATTTTAGCTTTCATTAAAAAAATACAAACAATTCTATGGATATTAAATAAACAACCACTCTCTTTAGAATCACTGATCGGTAACTTTAGATCACTAGAAAGTATACTGTTGAGCATTTATTAAAGTTATATTTAGTAAATATTAATAATTGTATTATTTTATTATAGGTTTATGTAATTTTATTTTAAATTTAAAATTATAAATAAATTAAACCTTTGCAATTTAATGATATTATCTACATATTATATATTTACGTATTATTTATTTTTGTCTTGTAATATTGATAAATTAATATCATAAATATATATTTGTTTATATTTATATTGATTTTTATAAATAGAAATGATAAAAAGTCGTTTCATTTTTCTATTAAACATTTACAACGTATTAGTGTTTAATAAGTTCAATATAGAAGGTCTAAAATGTAAAAACTTTAATGAACCTGTGAATAATATATGAATTATACAAAAAATATAATTTTAATTTCAGTTAAAGGCATTAATGTGATTTGTTTGATTTGTATTTATAAGTTTATATAATTGTACTTACTAAATTATAAAATTAGTATTTAATGATTTTTATATTAACAATGTAATTACTGAATATATTTTGAGATAATAAATAGTTGCATATTTTTGCTCTTCAATATCGCAATATTAAAAACAGATTAATCTTTAAATTGATTAAATATTCAATTATTAAATACGATTTAAATATAATAATAAAATTTATATCGACAAATTAATCAAATTTTATATAATTTCCATATTAATTTTTTATAAAAAAATTTATAGAAAACCATATTTTCTATTATTTTTATATTAAAAATAGAAAAAAATATATATAATACTACACAATTGGATACACAATACTCATTTCATGTAATTAATTATATGAAATATTTACCTGGGTCTCTGTTAACATTAAGGATGTTGCAACTTCAAATCGCTTAGGTCTACTTAAATATTTATTCTGACGAAATTGTTTTTCTAATTCTAAAAGTTGTTGTGAAGTAAAAGCTGTCCTTGGTCGTCTGGTTTTCCCTAAAAGAGCATGCTGTGTAGTACAACCTAAACATTGAGAATAAATGATTATAACAATTAATCATTATTATGTTTTGATTTACATTCAAGAAAATAATTTTTAAAGAAAACAGACTATAAATGTATAATTAACATAAATGTAAATACAAAAGTGAATAAGTAAAAATTAATTTTTATTATTTTATTGTTTTTATTCTTTATATATTTTTTTAATTTTCCAATATTTTTTTAATTGAGCCATAGAATAAATATATTCAGTTTTTTCTATTCTTTTTTAGAAAAATATATTTCATACTATTTTTATACGTTAATTTAAAAAATTAATATAATATAAAGATTTTAAAATTTTAATTATAATAAATCTCTTTTTTATGTTTGTTATGAATTATAATATTCTTTAAGGCTTGTTTTTTCAAATATAGTTAGCTTTAATTATTAATTTTATCTTATATATATTTATATAATTTATTGACTTGTATAGAAACAGCCAGATTTTAATGTCTATTAAGAAATTATATAATTAAAGTATTTATTTAGTAAAATATGTAGATAATTATATCTATATATTAATATTATTTTTTTGATGATGTAAATATTATTTTCGGTATAATATTTTATTTACTATTACAATATACAATATTATCTCGATATAATATAAATATCTTAAAATAATATATAAATTTTGTAATTCAACTTTTTATATTACGCTTCATAATTTTTTTTATCTCTGATTTTTTAAAGATTTTAAATATTTAAACCAAGAATAAAATATTCTTTTCGTAATACCATTGTATTGCAAAATAAAAATAAATTATCGCAATACATCAATATAAATGTTAGTCTGCTTTATGGGAATCTAATTATAAATAATTTTTAAAAAATATTTTAAAAAATTTAATTATTCGAAACTAGCGTAAAATATTGATATGATATTTTGTATTAATGCAATAAGTATATAGACTTAACATAAATACTAAAATAACATAAATAAAGATCATAAATAACAGTAAATGACTGTAGAAGCAACAGTAAAAACAAATGTAATAATATATGCTAAGGCGAGGGACAATTTTAGAAAATAATAGTAACTTCGTGGTAGAAATGAATTAGTAAAGAGGTCAATTGATTAATTCATGATATACTATGATAATTTAAACATGGACAGACACTTAATAACAATCTTTTGATATTAATAAGATCATGATTTTAAAAGAAGCAAAAGTTAGAAAAGATTGTAAAATTATATTAGTAACTGTTTAACGTTATAAAACATTTTTAGTTACTATCAAATTAATTTACATAAGAAAAAATGTAATTGTTAATATAAGATATATTATTTTCATAATCATCAAATGTAATATGACGCGGTATTACTTGGAGAGGAATATAAATTGAAATTCATCATTATATTTATACAGGTAGTTATTGAAATTGACAATAATTTTTTATCGGTGATTTTATAAGTTAAGAAGTTTATTCTGAAATTGAGGAAATTTGAATTTAAAGGTATTGTAAAACCTGTCAACTTACAAACAAAAATATTCAAAATGATAGTATAAGAGATTAAAACTAGCAAAATTTTGAATTTTATAATTCCTATACACTAATCAAGAAGTAATCCCTTATAGCATTTATAAAATAAATACATTAATTGTAATATATAAATATATATATTAAGTGTAAAAAATGAACAGAACAACTACTTTTTTTATATAACAAATTTGATATTCAAAAAAATTTTTAATTTCATTCATTTTTTTACTAATAAAATATATTTTAATTATAATATTTATTTTTAAACATATAATAATGTAAGTATGATACAAAAATTAAGAATGAAAGGGTGAAATACTTAACTATTAAAATATTACCCAACTAAATTTTTTAAATAAACCCGTAGCATGATGAAAAGTCCATGATATCTAATGAAAACAAATAACAATAGTGTAATGTAATATATTACATACAGGAATTATACTTACGTTAGTATCCTTTAAAAAATAAATTTACTAAAATTTATGAAACAATTTAAAACCAAGATAATTTAAGAAAATCGCTAACTAGAAAAGATTGTACAATTTTTTAAGAAAATGAATTCAAAAGTCTGTAAGGATAATACACTTATCGTTTCTCATCACTGAATACTCCACAGAATAGTCACGAATAAAATAAAAAAAACTCTTATATATACATCCGTACAGGGTTGTAAATCGTTTGGTAACCGTATTGTTACCAAATTAACAAAAATATCTGTCTTTGAAATAAAGTCAATAAATCAAATTATTTGCAATTACAATTGTATATTTTTATTAAGATAGAAATAATACAAATTAGTTCTGATTTCTAAATATAAATATATCATGAAGAGAATCCTTTTTTCTACATACTATTTAATATTATTTAATGTGATTAATCAATCATACAAATCATTATTCTTCATAAAATTTATTTATAATTATATACATTTTCAGAAAGATCGTATATGAAATTTAAAATTTAAAATATAACACTAAAAGATATTGATTACTATATGGTGAACAATAATTGAGAATAACATTCAATGCAACAGAGAAACCATATCTACTACTTGCTTGAAGATAGAATCTTAATTGAATTCATGAACCGTTAATAACCATCTACACAACTAGAACCTGGAATAAGAGAGACAGAGAGAGAGAGAGAGAGAGAGACAGAGAGAGAGACAGAGAGACAGAGAGAGACAGAGAAGAGAGAGAAGATAGAAGAGAGAGAGAGAGAAGAGAGAACAAAAGATAAATTCTAATATAGAAGGAAGAAAAAAATTTAACCTCAATATTATAATTATAATACTTTTTTTACTATTTTAAATTAGCATACGTTTTATTTACAAAAATCTTTCATCCATTTAGACAAATTTCAGTGTTCTCCTGTACTACTAATATATTTGATATTTCATTCTTTCTGTTTTAATTATACAACTGTAAAACATTATCTTACAATCATTTTGTCTATTTAACTTACGTTGTTAAATATTTATAATCGTTGTTTCATTGACTTGAAAGATGACAAAAAGGAAAATATGCTATATGCTATATCTAAATAATATTTTATATCGGATACTATTTGAATTATTATATTATTTGTCTTTTTTTTTACTTTAAATATTATTTAGATTTTGTGGCCGTTACGCTTCATTTTTAAAATACATTCAAACTCGTTACAACCAATGTAAAACATCCAATATTTCATATTGACTTGTACAATATTATTGTACTATATATACTAATCTATAAATTCAGATTACATAATATAATAATGTAATATAATTAAAACGATTTGTATACGAGATAATTTCACAATAATACTATATTTTATATAATTTGCTTGAGAAACATAATGATAATTTATTATAATTTCAATGATAATATTTTTTATTATAGAAAAGTATCCGACTGAATCCAATCTTTATGAATCTATAGTTTTTTTATATCAGAAATGTTATAAATACATTATTTACTTTTTGAAGTAAGAGTTGCTAACACAATTTTTATTTATAGCTTCTTTGTAATTTATACAAGGTTACTCTATTTAGCATTTAAAATATCTATTTTTATGTAACTAGATAATTTCACGATAATAAGTTAATTATCTTTTGAAATATATTAATAATTTTGAAATGTTATTGTGACATCTTACGTAGTTGTATTAATTAAATAAATAACAAGTTTCTATCTTTACTTAATTTTAATTATCTATTGAGGTCGAAACTTTTCGCGTAATATATAAAATTATATTTGCAATTACATATTTTGTCATTATTTTGGATTTCATAAATTTTATAAATAATCTTTTTTATTTAAAAACATTTAAATAATAACGATGTATAAAATATTATATTTTATTTATCTCCTAAGCCTATATAAGTTATTATTTATTATAATACGTATTATTTTTTTGCTATTTTATTCAAATTCCGATCATAAAATCGAAGATAGTGGATAATTATTTAAAGACTATATTAATAGAAAAAAATATTTAATAGTTAACAATTTTGGTTTCGCGACAAAAATAAAAACAAAATACATTTAAATATTTAAATGGTCATATGCGATTTAAGGTGCCAATTTTGTAATAATTACAATTATCAATTAATTTTTGTCATATTATTAAAATTAATGTGATACAACTGTATTCATGTTGTTAATTAATTATTTTATATTGTTAAATTAAGAATAAAAAAAGTGCAGATATTTTTTAAAAATATTTAAAATAAAATATTGAGATTTTAACAATGGTTATAATTTGAGTAAGTTTTTCATTTTAATTACTAGAATTATTTAATACCATTTTTGTATTTCTATTGAATACAAAAATTGAATACCAATTCATATTTCCATTGAATAGAAAAATTTCATAAGATAAAAAGCAAATTTATAATAGTTAGTAAATTGATATGTAATATTTAATACGAAATATATTTTATATAAAAACTTGGATTAGTGTCTTATACAGAATTTTGAAAAATTGTGAATTAATATTAATCTCTGATATGAGCTGACATTCACCGTTACTCTGATTAAAATTATTTTATGGAACAGTAAATCCAACCTGAAAACGGCTAATAGTAACCCAAATAAATTAAATTATCATAATAAAGGACTCATATATTCCCCTGCATAACATCCCCTTTATTTAAGGATATTACAAACACAAGCTTTAACAGCGATATGTTCACTCGATAAATCCGCCTCCCTTATTTACTAACATCTGTCATCATTTGTATTCTCCCTTACGAAAGAATTTTATAATTCTTATTATCCAATGGTATTCAATATTTCTATGTCAATTATTTAAAATAATAATTATATATAAAGTAAATTGTTAAACAATGTTCAATTTCTTAATTATTAAATAAATATTACAAATGAAAACTTTAATTATTATTTTTATAATATTAAAATGCATAATATTTGTAACATAATATTTCAAAATTTCATTTGTAATTTATATTACTATTTTATTATTTCAAACATGCTATATATTGAATC